ACCCCGCCTACCTTGGTGCTGGGAATACGAGTGCATGCGTGGTTGTACCTGGCTTTTTATATGGGTGCTGCAGAATCAAACTGAGTTCCTCTTGCTTGTGCAACAAGTGCTTTTATTCACTGAGCCAACCTGACAGTTTTCTCTCTCTCTTTTTAAAGTGAGTTTTTGTTGATTGTTAGTATTGTTTGTATGTATAATGTATATGTATAGGGTGCAGGGATTGTGCACATGTGCCATTTGCACATGGAGGTCAGAGAACAACTTTGTGGAATTGATTCTTTTTCTTCTATCATGTGGATCTGGGCATTGAACTCAGGTCATCAGGCTTGGTGGCAAATGCTGAGCTATTTCACTGGACCCTGGCAGCTCTCTCTGTCTCTGTCTCTGTCTCTCTGTTGTTGATTTTCAAGACAGAGTTTCTTAGTGTAACAGCTCTGGCTGTCCTGGAACTTACTTTGTAGACCAGGCTGACCTCAAATTGACAGAGATCTACCTGCTTCTGCCTCCTGAGTGCTGGGACTAAAGGTGTGTGCCATCACACCCAGCTGGCAGTTCTCTTTTGATAGTCCTCCTTTTGCTCTTTCTTTTTCCTTTCCTTCATTTCAGTGTTTGTTTTGGGATACTGCTGGGGATCCAACCTAGAGCCTTGTGCATGCTAGGCGGGAGCTATTACTGACTTAAATTCTGAATTCCAAGTCTTAAAATTACCTTCCCAGCCCTGCAGTGAACATTTGTTTGTTGAGACAGGGTCTTGCTTGTCTCTCTGTCTCTCTGTCTGTCTCTCTCTCCCCCTCTCTCCCTCTCTCCCTCTCTTCCTCTCTCTCCCTCTCTCCCTCTCTCCCCCTCTCCCTCTCCTTGAGACGGGGTTTCTCTGTGTAGCTTTGGAGCCTGTCCTGGGTCTCTCTGTAGACCAGGCTGCCCTTGAATTCACAGAGATCCGCCTGCCTCTGCCTTCTGAGTGCTGGGATTAAAGGTATGTGCTACCATACCTGGCAAACCAATGAACATTTTATGCACTTTCTGTCTACTGATTGATTAAATGTTGGTGTAATATTTTGAGTAAATACTTTTTTTTTTTTTGGTTTTTCGAGACAGGGTTTCTCCGTGTAGCTTTGCACCTTTCCTGGAACTCACTTGGTAGTCCAGGCTGGCCTCGAACTCACAGAGATCCGCCTGGCTCTGCCTCCCGAGTGCTGGGATTAAAGGCGTGCACCACCACCACCACCACCACCACCACCACCACCACCACCACCACCACCACCACCACCACCACCACCGCCCCCCGGCCTTTTTTTGTTTTTAATAAATTTGGACCTATGGCCACATTTTAATGTCTAAAATATTTTCAGTCTGTACAATAACTTTGATCTTTTTGTTGATGGACATTGTTTACTTATTATAAACACTTTAAAAGGTTTCCTCCATTATTAGTTAATAAATTTATTGATCATCAGTTTTATGTCATCATTTCATAGTGATTGAACCCTTAGGGGATTTAACCCAGGGCCTTGAGAATGCTGTAGTCCTACCCCAAACATGCTGAACAAAATGAATAGTTTTTCAACTAATTTGTAACCAACAGTGGAGCTTGCCATGTTATATTCTAACCGTCAATTTCCTTTGTTTCCACTAGAGCAGAAGCAGCTTAATTTGTTGGTAAAGCCATTAATGAGTTGTATATCTTGAAGAAATATTAATAGTTGTAGTAGAAAAGTTTTCTCTCTAATTGCTATAATTAATGACATGAGCTTTGTTTTGTGTTCTGTTTTCACATTTAAAAACGAAGTACTTAGTTGGTATATTGTAGGTATTAGTAAGTCCAATTTCTAATGAGCTCTGTTGGAATTTATCATATTTTTTTTCTTTTTTAATCATTGCCCTACATGTTGTTGAACCTGGAACCCTCCCTGCATATGATAAACATTTATTGAGTGATTAGCTGTGTGCCAAGCCCTTTTCATCTTTATCTTGCTGGCCCTTTATACCTTGTGACTGCTTATCAGGAACTTTTCTGGCCTTTGGAGACCATATTTTTTGGTTCACTGTACTTTTCATTACCAATTTTCTTCACCATTCTTTTCCTCTATTTTCTCCCTTCTTAGACATTGTAAACTTTGGTTTCTTTCAGTTTTATGCTTTTTATCTCTATACTGAGGACTCCCAACAAACCTTTCTGAGCTTTAAACTCAAGAAATTGAAAAGCAAGTGTAATTTCCCCGAAGTTTGCACAGGTCTTTAATAGAGCTGACTTTTACTTTGACTTACTCCTTTTGCCTCCCTCCAAGTTTCCAAGGGTAGATCCTTTGTGTTGCTTTAGTCTGCTCTTCTCAGAACGGACCCAGGTCTGCTGACTTTTCTGTCTGGGCGGAGGTTTGCTTTTTGCTCCCAGGTTCTGTCCTCTGCACTTGGTGCCTTGTTTCTGATTGGCCTAGAGTGTGTCTGAGTTGTGGTTGATTGTATTCCTCCCTCTTGGGTGTCAGAGTAGAGTAACTGTGACTTGATCTTCACAGGTGGAGGCTTATCTCCGCCCCCACACACCTTTTTTTTTTTTTAACCTCATTTTGCTATAGTGGCATAAGATATAACTCCATACTTTGAAGTAAAGCCTTCTTTCTGTTTGGCATGTTCTTGACCCTTTTACATGGCTTCACCTTTAAAAATTAATGTAGGGGACTGGAGAGATGGCTCAGAGGTTAAGAGCACTGGCTGTTCTTCCAGAGGTCCTGAGTTCAATTTCCAGCAACCACATGGTGGCTCACAACCATCTGTAATGAGATCTGGCGCCCTCTTCTGGCCTGAAGGGATACATGCAGGCAGAACATTGTATAAATAATAAATAAATAAGTCATAAAAAATAAAAAAATAAAAATTAATGTAATTCTCTTCTGCATCCAGAAGTCTTTGTTTCTTCCAGCATGAACCAAAGCAACCATTTTGTGCCTGTCATTGGGATTATTATATTGCACACTTAATATTGAAGAGTATTCATTTCTCTTTAATTAATTAATTTTGTTAATTAACTACTGTTTGTGTGTGCCTTAATTTTTTGTCAACTTGACACAGCTAGGATTGTCTGGGAAGAGGAAAATTCAGTTGAGAAAATGCTTCCGTTAGATTGGCCTGTGGGCAAACCTGTAGGGAATTTTCTTGATTAATGATTGATTTGGAGGGCCTAGCAAACTGTGTGGGTGACGTTATCCTGGGCAGATGAGCCTGAGTTATATATATATAAAAAATTAGACTGAGTAACCCATGGGGGCAAGCCAGTAAGTCGAGCTCCCCCATGATCTCTGCCTCTGTCCTGCCTCCAGGTTCCTGCCAAACAAAAACAGTGCCTGTGTATGCCGTGTGTTGACATGTATCTTGTGTCACGGTCGGAGAACAACGCTGTGGAGTTGGTTCTCTACTTCTACCTTTATTTGCATTATTAGAGAGATCAGACTAAGGTTACCAGGCTTTTGCAGCAGGCGCCTTTGCCCACTGAGCATCTCACCAGCCCTTTTGTCTTTTTAGACAGGTTGTTGTATAAAGTGAAAGAAGTCTTAGATGCTGAAAGTAATGGGATGCATAATTTCAAAAATTATTTTTTTTGATATGTGTGTGTGTGTGTGAGAGAGAGAGAGAGAGAGAGACAGAGAGAGAGGTATATATATATATGTATAGGGGTGCTTACCTCTGTGTGTGCAAAGGCCAGAGGAGTGTGTCACATGCCCCTTTGTATTACTTCCTGCCTTATTCTTTTGCGTTAGGGTCTCACTGAACCAGGACATCAACTTTTTTTTCTGGCCAGCAAGCTCCAGTGATCCTCTTTTTCTGTCAACCCCAGTACTGACTGGAATATTACAAAAGTGTATGGGACCACACCTAGCTTATTGTATGGGTGCTGGGATCAGAACTTCCTCTTAATTGTGTAACAATGCTCTTAACTCTCTAGCCTGATTCTGAATATATATTCATTTTATTATAAACATATATCCATAATTAGATTTAAAATATTATGTGTGGTTTGTGCATGTTAGTATAGGTGCCCAAGGAGACCAAAGGTATTAGCTCTCCTTGGAGCTAGAATTACAGATAAGATTGTGAGTCACCTGACAGGCAAGAATCCAAACTTGGAGAGTATTCTCCCAAGATACATATGTACTCATGGTACAAATAATGTAATTTTGTTACAAAGGAAATGCATATGTTAATGCCAAAAGCATTGATGCCAGAATCTAATGCCATTTAGCTTACCTGTCTGTTTGAATCATATGCTACTTTTTGTTTTCCCTGGCCTGAAAATTTGTGTGCATATGTTAAAGTTTTGTCTTTTTATTTAAAATAAAAATTTAAGTGTATGGGTGTTTTGCCCGCATGTATGTTTGTGTGCCAAATTGGTGCAGTGCCTGAGCAGACCAGAGAAGGTGTCAGATCCCCTGGGATGGGAGTTACAGATGGTTGTGAGACACAGTACAGGTGCTGGGATAGAAGTGGAGTCTCCTTAAAGAGCATTAAGTACTGTTAACTGCTGAGCCATCTCTCTAGGCCCAGGGTTTTTATTGTTTGTTTGTTTGTTTGTTTGTTTGTTTTTTGAGACAGTTTCTTTGTGTAGCCCTGGCTGTCCTGGAACTTGTTTTATAGACCAGGCTGGCCTCGAACTCAGATATTTGGCTCTCTCTGTACTGGGATTAAAGGCGTGCACCACTTCTACCAGGCCAGACAGAGTTTCTCTGTGTAGCTCTAGCAGTCCTGAAACTCATTTTGTAGACCAGACTGCCTTCAAACTCAGAGATTCCTTTGCCTCTGGGATTAAAAGCATGTGCTGCCATTCCTGATCCATTTTTAAAAGTCATGGCCTAGAATTTGCCATGTAGCTCAGGTTGACCTCAGACTCCATTCTTCTCTGAGCCTCTAAATACTGGGAATATAGGTGTACGCCCTCATCCGACTGTGAGGAGCTATGTTTTGAAAGCCTTTTCCTTTCTGGTTTCTTACCATCCTCTGTTTCTGAATTGTAGTTACAGATGTAGAGCTGAAACGACTCAAAGATGCCTTCAAGAGGACCTGTGGACTCTCATATTACATGAGTCAGCACTGCTTCATCAGGGAAGTGCTCGGGGATGGAGTGCCTCCTAAAGTTGCTGAGGTAATCTTTATGGGGCTGCATTCCTCTTGTAGTTTCTACCAGTTTAAATTTCTTTTTCAAAGTTTTTTTTTTCAAATTATTTTAATTCTTTTTCTGTTATTAAATGTTTTCTTTTGAGACAGAGTCTGACATAGCTCAGACGGGCTTCCAACTTACTGTGTAGCTGAGGCTTGCTTTGAACTCCTTATCTGGGTTTATAGCTTTAAACTACCTTCCCTGTGTTCTTGTCTTTTTGCTTTTTAAAATTTTGCAGGAGTCTTCAATGAAAAGATTTCATCTTCCTCACAGTTATTTTTCTTGCTGAATAAGCAACAGGTTCTAGTTTAGATGTGTTGTATTCTTTTTGGTTTTTTGAGACAGGGTTTCTCTGTGTAGCTTTGCGCCTTTCCTGGATCTTACTCTGTAAACTAGGCTGGCCTCGAACTCACAGAGATCCTCCTGCCTCTGCCTCCCAAGTGCTGGGGTTAAAGGTGTGCTGCACCACCACCACCACCACCACCACCACCACCACCACCACCACCACCACCACCACCACCACCACCACACCCGCCCCCCAGATGTGTTGTATTCTTAAAGGTTGAATGGGAACACTAAAGAGTCACGGGTTTGCATTTTTGGTGCTTTTGCAACTGATATGTAATAATTATAGATTGTTTATATGATTTCCTCCTTATTTTAAATGTCATCTCTGATATTAATTTTTTATGTTGTATGTTTTATAAATTTTTTATTGAAAGGAGTTGAGTCTGTAAAATTAAATCTTGTAAGTGAAATAAGAGCTTATTGGAACTTACTTAAATTCTTATTTAAATTGTACCAAAATGTTTAAATAAAATATGCTAAGCTTGTAAGCATTCTTTTCCTTCTTCTCCTCCTTCTCCTCCTCCTCCTCCTCCTCCTCCTCCTCCTCCTCCTCTTCCTTCTTCTTCTTCCTTTTTGTTTGTTTTTTGAGACAGGGTTTCTCTGTGTAGCTTTGGAGCCTTTCCTGGAACTCACTCTGTAGCCCAGGCTGGTCTCCAATTCACAGAGATCCTCCTGCCTCTGCCTCCCACTGCTGGGATTAAAGGTGTGTGCCACCACCGCCTGGCTTAGCATTCTCTTTCTAAAAATAATGTTTATTATTTTGTAGTAACTACACAGATGTATTGTTATTCTAAGTATGACTAAGAGTAAAATTTATAAAACAATAAAAGTTATAGTAGGAATTTTAAGCTTGAGATGACATATGGAACCTTAATTCTCTGCTTTATTTTTTATTGTTTTTAGCAGTTTTTTTAGATTATTTTTTGTGTGTATGTGTGTTATGAGCATTTTGCCTGAATGTATGTATGGGCACCACATATATGCCTAGTGTCTGTGGAGGCTGGAAGAGTGTTCTTAACCATTGAGCCATCTTTCCAGCCCCTTTTCTTTAAAATAAACTTTATTTTAAAAAATAGCCCAGGATAGCCAGGGCTACACAGAAAAACCCTGGGGTGGGGGTGGGGGTGGGGGATTTTTTCAGATGGTGGTGTCACATGCCTTTAATCCTAGTACTTGGGAGGCAGAGGTCAAGGCCAGCCTGGTCTACAGAGCTAGTTCCAGGACAGCCAGGGCTACACAAAGAAACCCTGTCTCAACAAACAAACAAAACAAACAAACAGAAACAAAAACCATAAAAACAACCAAACAACAAAGAAAAAACAAACAACAAAAAAAATAAACAATTTACATCTGCTTTTAATTACTGTGTTGCATATCTTTGTCATTTATATAATAGATATTACATTTGTTTTTCTTTATGTATGTATTTTGATTGAGGATATATGTTGTTTTATAGCTCTTTACGTTTATTGTATAAAGTATATTTTCTTGTTCTGCCATTAGTTTAGATTTGTGGCAGCATTAGAATTTTCCCTGTCTGTTTATTGGGCTCTGTTTTAGCATGAGCTTCTATTCTTCATATTCTTGCTTTCCTTAATAAGTTTATCTTGAGTGCTGTTAGAGTACAAAAATGTTGAATTTAGCCGGGCGGTGGTGGCGCATGCCTTTAATCCCAGCACTCGGGAGGCAGAGCCAGGTGGATCTCTGTGAGTTCGAGGCCAGCCTGGTCTACAAAGCAAGTTCCAGGAAAGGCGCAAAGCTACACAAAGAAACCCTGTCTCGAAAAACAAACAAACAAACAAACAAACAAACAAATGTTGAATTTATAATTTTTCATTTCAAGATATAATAAACTATTTAATACTATGGTATGACCTGCCAATTAGAAAAGGGGACATAGCCAGGTATGGTGGTGCATGCTTTTAATCCTAGCACTAGAGAGGCAGAGGCAAGTGAATCTTTGTGACAAGGCCAGCCAGGCCTACACTGTGAGGCCCTGTCTCAAAAATTAATAAAATAATGAAGTGACTTAAACAGAGTTTATAGTAATTAATAGAAAATGCTTCTAAATTCAAAGGCTGTTCAGTCCCCCCCCCCCCCCCCCCCCACACACACAGCTCCTTTGCTTAAAGTCAGAACTGTCTCATGTTGCTAGAAAAAATTTAGGTCACAGTATTTTATGTCCTTGGATTATATATAAACATCTATCTGTATACATACCTAAAAGCAGATTCGTGTCTATTTTTTTTTTTCGAGACAGGGTTTCTCTGTGTAGCTTTGCGCCTTTTTCCTGGAACTCACTTGGTAGCCCAGGCTGGCCTCGAACTCACAGAGATCCGCCTGGCTCTGCCTCCCGAGTGCTGGGATTACAGGCGTGCGCCACCACCGCCCGGCTTTTTTTTGGGGGGGAGGAAAGGATTCATGTGTCTTCCACATCACAGTTCATCATCAAAGGAAGTTAGGACAAGGACCTCAAGCAGGTCAGGAACCTGGAGACAGGAGCTGATGGAGAGGCCATGGAGGAGTGCTGCTTACTGGCTTATTTATCATGGTCTTCTCAGCCTACTTTCTTACAGAACCCAGAACTCAGGATCACCAGCCCAGGGATGGTACCACCACCCTCCCATATCAATCACTAAGTAAGAAAATGCTTGCCTGCAGCCTGAGATTTTTTTGTTTGTTTGTTTGGTTTTTTGAGACAAGGTTTTTCTGTGTGTACTTTTGGTGCCTGTCCTGGATCTCGCTCTGTAGACCAGGTTGGCCTCAAGCTCACAGAGATCTTCCTGGCTCTGCCTCCCAAGTGCTGGGACTAGCCTGAGATCTTATTTCCTCATTTTCTCAGTTGAGGTTCCCTCCTCTCAGATAACTCTAGCTTGTGTCAGGTTCACATAAAAATTAGCCAGCACAGCCTTTAATCCCCACACTTGGAAGACAGATGCAGGCAGATTTCTTTGAATTCGACACCATCCTGGACAACATAGAAAGTTCTAGGCCAGCAAGGAAAAAAAAAGAAAGACATTTATGGGGCTAAAGAGGTGGCTCATTGTTAAGAGCACTGACAGCCTTTCTAGAGAATCCAGGTTTGATTTCCAGCACCAACATGAGGGTTCATAAGTGTCTGAAATCAACTCAGTTATCTGAGATGAGGGCACTCTTCTGACCTCCATGGTACCTTAATGCACAGAATATATCCAGACAAAACACCCATGTACATAAAAATAAATAAATCATTTTTTAACATTTTTGCAAAGTTGGAACATTTCTAGTTATTATCAAGTAGAGCTATGAAAAAAAGCCATCCAGTTAAAGTAGTTAATACTATGTTAATAATTGGCTATTACCATAAAAAATAAAGATAAATACATTTACAAAACTAAATGGAGCTGGAGAGATGGCTCAATGATTAAGAGCACTGACTGCTCTTCCAGAGGACCCAGCACCCACATGGCAGCTCACAAGTGTCTGTAATTCTAGTTCCAGGGGACTCAACACCCATGGCAAAACACCAGTGCACATAACAAGTAAAAAAAAAAAATTAATTAATTGGTTATTACAAGGCATGGTCACCATTAAAAGAGGAGTGCCCCCAGCTGCTAGCAGGTTTCAAATTAGGTGACTGGGAAATCTAAATTACTAGACTCAAGTTTGGCAGTAGATAGTATATTTATAGTGTAATATTTTGGGGCTCTTTATGTCTTTCTTTGATGAGACTCCATCTTTTTTTTAACTTTAAGAGTAATTGATTTCTTTGGGCATTTTTATGCTAGACTCTTTAAAGTTCTTGTCTAATACCTATAGTATCTGTGTCATCAGTTTGTTGGTACTATCGGTTATTTCCTAATTGGTTAAATATTTTTCTTGGTCCTTTTATGTTGAGGATTTTCGGATTACAGTCTAGATATTTGGAATGTTCAGAGATTCTGATTCTTGGAGATGTTACTGTGTGTTTTATCAGATCATGATGACCGTGACTCAGGATATAGCTTTGTACTTGCCAACTCCTGCTTGCTTACAATGTCAGTTACCTTTCCAAAGCCTGTGCAGTCCTATTTGGATTTATCCCACAGTGACTAGTCTTAGACTCAGTTTTAGTTCAGACCGGTTTGTCTTTTAGGGTTAGGCAGGCCCAGGGATTACAAAAAACACGTTTTTCTGATCCTTCCTCCCCTTAGTGTTTACATTAATTTCCTTTTCTCTGGAGCTCCTATTTCCAGTTCTGTCAGAGGTGGAGACTTATCGAGTCTGCTGTGCCACACACTTTTTGAATTTATCTGTATCCAAGGAGGAGATATAGGGACAAGGAAGACAGAGGACGTGAAGAAGAAACGGAAATTTATCTCATTCTCTTGGGACTGTAGTAGCTGTAATTAGAGCCTATGGTAGACTAAATAATATCTCCCAAAGATTTCCAGATCCTAGTTCCTGAAGTTGCATGTAGCATATGTCTGAAATTCTGGGACTCTTGGATGTTTGAGAGTTTCAAGTTTATCACTCTTACCCTATGTAAAAATTTTTTCTTTTTAGAATTAGAGAAACTCTTCCTTTAGCACCATTGCTAGATTCATGTAGTCATGTATTCTTGGTCATTTGCTTAAATGTCAGTTTGAGATATTCTTCAGATTACTTTGAAAATTTAT